TGCAGTCCAACCTCGGGTAGCCGTATGTCGTAGTGCTCGTTGACGGTACGATCACCATTTGCAGTTTCCAGAATATGCTCTTCGCGAATAGATATGCGATCCGACTCGGTCTGCGTAAGTTCATGTTTTCCCTGAATATGATGGGCAGAGCCACTGTCAAGAACCCAAGACCTTGTTAATGCTGCAGTCGAACGTGGAGTGTCGACTTGCTTTGTCGTTGTTGTCGTCTGGGCAGTCTTTGATGACTGCTTGACAGTGTCGTCATGCTTTCGGATCGCAGTTGGTGTGGCCACCGACTCTTTGTTGTGTCGGTAGTCGTATAGTTCGTCGTACCATAGTTGTGCCTCTTTTTGACATTCTCGTAAGGCCTCTGCACTATCATCCCACCATTTTTGTGGTAATGGATCTGGTACTTTGACGATGTCACCCTCATTCGGCAGCTCTTTCCATCTGTCCAGTCTGGCTCTGCCAGATATGGTATGGAAATAGTAGTCCACGTTGCGTACGTCGAAGCGTATCCGACGACGTATCTTGGTAGATGTCGCTGTGGCCTTAGTGTTGGCCATGAGGGTCTTGTCACGGATGACGTAACTGCGGTCTGAACGGCGTGAACGTCTAAAGTTGGCAGGAGAACGTGCTCTGGTGTTGGGTGAACCACGGGACGATCCGCGGCTCGGATACCGCTTGCCACGTCCTTTGTCACTGCCATATGATCTATCACGGCCGCGTGGACTGCCGCGTCCGCCGCCACGATTGTCTCGTCCTCGGGAGGTAGATCTCGAAGATCTGTCGTAACGACTTCTCGATTGGCTGCGAGAGTCGTGGGACCTCCTGGATGTCGAACGGGATCGGTCGTATTGGCGTCGGTTGTCACGTCCCTGTCGTGAATCGCTTGCGTAGCGAAACCCCCCGCGTTGTGAAGACCGTTGGCTTCCTGATCCGCGGGATGGCGATCGGCCACGGCTGTCCTGGCTGGAAGTCCGTGGTCGACTCGGGCTTCGTTCAGGAGTCTTTGCACCAGGTGCGAGATGAGCGTATTTGCATTTGTCGCCTTTTGTGCACTTGTTCTGTGCGAAATCCTTGCACTGTGCGACGTGCGGGTAGTTACACTTATCACCTCTGGTACATGTGTTGCGCTTGGCAAAATCGAAGCAGAATGGCCTTGATGCTGGCTTCTTGTGATTCGCAGGAGTGGACATACTACGGCGGGGGTTGCCACCAGCCGTTGATGTTCTGGAAGATTTGTTGTTCTTCCAATCCCTGGAATATGTATGTAAAGCCTTGCACCGTTCACCATTGCGACAATTGCCTTTCTTCCATGCAGCGCACACGTTGACCTGAGATCGTGTCTCGTGTTCGTACCGTAGCTTGTTTTGATTATTCTCCAATTGTTTAATCTCCAGTATGTCCAGGACACGCTGTCGAAGCCAACCGTAGGTACGATTCGGGTCGCTCATCTTCATGCGCTGGTACTCGTACATGTCTTGTTTCATCCATGCATGTCTACGAATCTGTGTGCGGAATAGCGATTCCAATATCTTTGGATCGGGTACTTCTCGGCATTCCAAGAGTAAGGCGTCCCAATCGGTAATGAAACGTTGCAAATCTTCGTCTCTCATCCTCAGTTCTTTAAGGCGCTCGAAATCGTGCAGGTCGTCGTCGACGTCTGTCACTTTGTAGGACTGTAGGATATGCCAGTATATCTGGCGTCCTTTGAGCATGCGTCCTGCTTTGTGCTCTCTGGTCTCGATGAGCCTGATTTGGTAGCGTAAGTCTGAGGATAAGATGTCGCTCAGAGCGGTTGCGAGTTTGCAATCGATGCTCTCAAAGTCTCCACTGTCTTGTAAATCCTCGAATGTACATTCGGGCTGTTCTGCCACGCATAGGAAGGCGTATGCTTTGGATGGTCGCCCTGAGGCGGCCCCGAAGTTCTTTCGCACTCTTTGCTGCCACTCCAGCAGCTGCGTGATCTTAGGCAAGACAGGTACTCGGACGGTGTCTGACTCCTTGATAGGCGTCGTTGTATGTACCGACACCGCAGACACTGGTTGTGAGGGTATCGGTGCACCGTCGATGGTTGGTTCTGTGCGCACAGGAGACACATGACGTGTCTGTGCAGAAGCTGCCGCGGAGGCTGCTCCTGGAGATGTACGTCGTTGTTGTCCTGCTGAAGCTTGTGGTGCTTCGGCGGACGCTGCCGTCGGCCTGTGCAGGTCGGCTGCAGGTCGAAGGTGAATGTTGGTGTCGTTAGTGTGGTCGATCAGCTGATTTGTCCAGCTCGTCATGTCTTCTTGTATTTGACCCACCTTTTGGCGTGTATACTCATCAGTATCCCGAGACCGTTGGGAATACCGATCAAGTCGATGCTCGCATGCTCGGAGACGGGCGCTTTGTGCCTCCACCTCGCTTTCCAGACGTGCGAGATAACTCTCAACACGTACCTTCTCAGTATCTCTTTCATGAATAACCTGGGAGAGCTCTAACTGCGTGTGGTCCGCCGCCTTCTCAACCTCCTGCAACCTGTCAGTGAGGCGGGCGAAATCGTAAACCGTGGGAGGAGAATCCAGCTGATCAGTCTGGGCTCGTCCGACACGCAACTCTGCCAGGGCGTCCTGTACACCAGGAAAACGCTGCTCTATGTCAGAGATCCGGTTAGCGAGTGGCTGCACGACAGCGTTGGTCGCATCAAGCCTTTGAGTGATGACTCTCTCAGTACGCTGCAACATGTCGATCAGGTTCGACGAGTTTGTGTGTGCTTCGGTACGAAGCGTCGCCGTAGTGTGGTCTAGGTAAGATCGAAGATCATTGATCTGAGACTGAACGTCGCCGAGGTCTGTGGCCTCGGTTGGAGTTGGTCGGTTACGGAGCTGGTCGTGGATCTCATCATGTAAAATCCTGACCGCAGAAATGCCTGTGTCGCGTACGATCACAAGTTGTTGCTCCATCTGCGCGAGATAGTTGCGCAGGTTCTCGACCATCGCCGTTCGTTCACCTGAGTGTGACACCTCACGATCAACCTGGTACTGCAGTTCTCCTATGATGCGTCGATCTTCGGCGATCCTGGAATCGATGATCCCTAAGGCGCCGTCAAGATCGCGGCGTATGGCTGCAGTATCAGTGGCGTTCGTCTGAACGCTCTGTAGTAGTCCAGAGTATTGGCTGGACACGAAGGTTTCAACCTGGTCTCTGAGCTCAGCTATGTCACCTGCGGCGGACGTCTCCGCCAGCTGGTCGTCTGAGATGGAGAGGTGGGGAGCGTCAGCTTCCCTGTGTCCCCTGTCGCGGGGAGTGCATGGCCTCTGAGAGGCAGTGCGCGGGCTCGACCTGCTTTCGCCGCATGGGCCCGGGGCTCCACGGCGGTTGCGCGCGGACGAGCTGCGACTCGGACCATGTGTGTGTGGTGTCTCATCCGATGATACCTTGGGGTACCGCGTCTGTGGCTGTGCCGACACTGGTCTACTGAGTTCCTCGAAGGTAGCTACGCGCTCCGCTACAGGGACGGTCGCAGGGCTGGGGGTCCCAGCACCTGAGGTCCATCGGCGGTTAGCGCGAAAGCGCCCTGGAGTATCGAGACCGGTAAGGCTTTCGCCTGACGCGGTTGGGATTGCTCCCGACGGGGAAGGGGAGGGAGGATCGAAGGTCGGCGTGTGAAACTCCTTCCTTCCTGTTCCTACTCCTTCTCCTGTCCCCCCGCGGGCGGCGCAGCGGCGAAGTTCAGCAGCTAGACGCGCCTCGGGTCCTCGGGAGCTGGGGGGGGGTATCGGGGACGCCAACACAGTCCGCACTAATGCTCTCCAACTCGTCACCGAGCCGTCGCACCGTGGGAGAGCTTGGACGCGAAGCCCCAATGGAGCCCTTACGGCGCATGCGCCGAAGCGGCTCCATTAGGCTCGCATGCAAGGTCACCGCGGGCGAGTCGGTGAAGGTGAGCGTTAAAGGGCTGAGAACCTGTGTACGGGGTTGAAGTACAAGGGTACAGAACCCCTGGTCCGTTGGTAGAGAGATGGAGGGATAGATGGATATCTTTCCCTCCCACGCGATCAGGGTACGATCGCTCCAACTCAGTACCTGAGCCCAAACGGCCAGGTGCGGGAGAGGTAAGGATAAGGAGTATATATGAGGGTATTACACGGGTTCCTTCCACAGCGACTCCATGGCCATTCCTCGGCGCTCGCCAGCCCCCACGACCATCTCCATGCCTCCCTGGCCAAAAGAGCCGCGCCGAATACCTTGTCCGAGTGATCCGCTTTTGGCCGAGCACCCATCATGGCCAGGTTTGCGCCGATGCGCTTACTGACCGCACTTCCTGCAAACCGCTCGGCTCTGGAAGACCATCTGTCTGCGCGTCCCTCCTGTGAGTGGGGCTTGCTTGGGCCTCCTCAGTGTAAGCTCATCACGATCAATGCCAAAACTGGTGGCCACAAATTCCAGCCTTAGTTTCCGGCTCTCTGCAATTCCTTCCCCAACTCGGAGCGCCAGGAGACAATCGTACTTCCTAGGGGAACCACCGGCCCTGCTTGCGTGCGACCACGGGCAAGGCAAAGCCCTGGGCTCCTCGACCGACTTAACAGCACTTCGCATGCGCCCTCAATCTTTTGGGAAACATCATAAAGCCAAGATCTTGATCATGCCTGGAGCCGCCATGGCCGTCTCCTCGAGTATAATAAAAAGTGGGCGTGCGTGGACAAGTCAACACCTCTTCCCACGCCCGTAACTATGCTCTTCTTGGGCTGCATGACCTCTGACTAACAGAATTTTCGCTAAGAGCGCGGGGCGCCGCGTGCAAGACCTTCAAGCCCTGGAAGGGGGGTGGACATGGTGCGTGCTGCCTTTCACGACGAGCACCTCCGATTGCAGAGCGCCGACGGAGGCCCCGATGTCTCGCGAGGCGCTTGCCTGCAACTAACCGTCGATGGGGGACAGGGCGGCGTCCTCTTCCATGTAGCCTCTCCAAAGCGCCCTCCCCCCAATCAACAGAGATGATCCTGCTACGGCTGGGCCCCAGTTGGGCCCAAAGTCCATCTTGCTCTGCGCGATCCTCGACAGCTCGACCAAAACCTCGCCGGATCAGACAGCGCGTCAATAACGCGGTCATCGCCTGAGGAGTTCCGGGTTAACGCAACCATCGCCACCAAGAACTGCCATGGCCATGCCGTGTCTGCCATGATGCGTGCAATTTCCGAACCTATTCCATCTTGCCCACGGCGGCGGCCCACGCCAGCTCCTTCTTGCCTCGCCGTTCCACTCATTTGGCTGCGGGGCCCTTCGTCTCCATGATACTGTCCGCGATCAACTACTCGTTGAAGGGGGCGAAGTGAGGGCCATGGACAGCTCCGAGGACCTCGCCCATCAACTCATTGACCCCGCCTTAGTTGAGGTCATCAGCAGCCCCAATAACTTCCCAGGGGTCCTTCGACATGCTCTGTCCCGACTCGAACTCGTCCTCCTGGGATCTCCCACCGTAGGGCCATCTTGGATAATTCGCCCAGGGCTGACACACGCTGCTCCTCTGCCCACCGAGCGAGCGCCAAACACGGCGGGTCGCGCCCCATTCCGCGCGCGTTGCTGGAGAACTCCCCGCGCCCATCCCTGCGCCGATGCGTCGCTCCATCATTTGCCGAGTCAGATCCCCTGAACTTTCTGCGCCAAGACGTGAACTTGCGCCCCGGTCAGCTGGGCAACGTCGAGAAAGGCGTCGCCAGAGCAACAGTGTAGCCCCCCTGATTCTGACCGCCAACTTGACCAATCTCGGTGGCTCTCTCGCGCCCGTGGCCCCGTCCAACGCGCCCGACAAGAACCCTTGCTCAGCCGGCCTGCCCATCCCGACGACCCAAGTTCGCGCGCGCGGTGGGGGTGACATGACCGCGCGCGCCCCGAGGGCCCCAGCACATCCACTACCCCAGCGCGCCTCGCTCTCTTCGCCCGCTTCTTCGCCGCCCAGAAGCGCGGCATAAAAAGTTTCAACTTCGCCAGCCCATGCGCAACAAAAAACACATCCCATATTCCGAGCGCTGTCCATGGTCGCCCGTTGCCGCATGAGTTTGGCATGCAGGGAGGTGGCCGCCCCCATATGTGGCATTTCTCTAGCTTGATGTCCTTCCACGCCCCTTCACTGCTTTCCAAAAATCCACCTGGCATCTGCCGCCTTCCTGCCCGTGCCGGGCCCCTCTCGAGGAGGCAGCTCTGGTTCGCGAGGTGCCCTGGGATAACCGAGAAGCCCACCCCCCGCGGGCAATCCATCCTCTTCCGCGACGGCCGAGCCGCCCGCGCCCGAGGGGCCCATGACCTTCCTGTGCCATTGGGGAATCCGAAATCGCCGGGCCATCCCAGCGCCCTTTCAAACGCCTCGCCGACATCCACTTTGAGTTGCGCAGCTATGCCGTCGCGAGCGCCCCCTCCATCCCCGAGCGACTCGACGTCGGCAGATATAATATGCACCAAATCCACCGTGCCTCGAGGGGCCACGGGGTAGTCGATGACGGACCGCTTCCCGCGCGTGTAGGTGTAGCCCACAATGTCAGGAACCAAAGAATGCCGCTGGACCAGCTTGAGCTAGCCGCTAGCCAGATTCGGTCAAAGCCGAGGGTGATACACTGCAGCCCGCGATGATAATCTCATGGGTCGATGCGGCAGAAGCCATGGCCGCCCTTTGCCTTAGCTTCTTCATACTCGCTTAAGAGGCAGCAAGCCCCGTGCAATGGACGCCCCCAACGATCGCGAGATTGGCCCCCCTCTGCGCGATACCTGCCTGTGAACCAGGTCCGGCGTGCGAGCCGGGACGGACGCCCACTCCGACGTCGCCCTCGACTCTGGCTTGCATCTGCCCCCCCCCCATTGCCAACTCGGGAATCCGCGTTAGAAGCCAAGTGTCTCCGTGGCCAGGATACCCACGTCTCAGCAATGCCCATAGCAACCCCGCCAGCCTTGGAACGACTACGAGCTCTCACCGCCTTCTGGACATACCATGCATTTCCGGCGCTTCTATCGAACAGATGTCCAGCACCGCACTCGCCCCCTTGACGGCCACTACATCCATCTCGTTTCCTAATGCCCCCATGGCCGAACGGCCCCGCGGCGACGCGCTCCTGCCGTGGATCCAGAAGCCCCCCCGCGCCACCCCCGGCCCAATCATTAAAAGGAAGCCTGCCCCCGCCCGGGGGTCGTAGGTCCGAAGGGGGGCGCCTCCGACCCGGCGACTGCCAGTTGGCGCATGGACAGACCCTCGCCCAGTGCACGCGGTCCGGCGGGAGATGCCCCCGACCCCGCGCCCGCGTTTCGTCGCGTAGAGAAACCCTCGGCATTCCCTTGCGAGCCCAGGGCAGCCCTCGACACAGCGCCCTCCAGCGGGCGCAGAGTAGAACCTCCTTCGGGGACTTGCGGGCCCATGGAGGAAGCGCCTGACCCAGCGCCTTCCGACTGGCGCATGGAGAGACAGCCGCATTGCGCCCGTAGGTCCGCGAGGGGCACCCGCGACCCCGCGCCGCCCGTCTTGCGCGACGAAACCTCCAGGATGTCCCCGTGGTTTTCCCACGGCGCGCGGAACCTCTCATCTCCACAACTTCGCCAGAAAAAAACCCTCTCCAAGTCCGCGCCGTCGGCGTGGACTGGGGCCGATCTCCGAAGACGCCCGCGGAAGCTTCTTTCTCGATGCCTCCAGCTCGCCCCATTGAAACCTGGCGGCGCGCCTCCTGGCCCGCGAGTCAGTCGCGCCCCGCGGGAGGTCGCGGAAAAATGCCACGCGTGAGATCGCGTTGCCCCGCGCCTGTTCGCGCCGGATCTCAGCGACCGCGTGCGTGGACGTGTCTGGGCACCTCCAGAGCAGCCCCCTCCTCGCGCCAGCTTTGGTGCCCAAGCCCGTGGATGCTTGGAAATAACGCGCGCGCCAGCTCATCCACTGCCCCTAGAAATTAAATGCTTCGCCGCAAAGGTTGTAGATCCACGCGGAAACATCGGCCGCTATCTCGCTCGCAAGAGCCCGCCCCCCTGCCTCGCAAAACGGTCGCGGGTGCCTGGTCGGGAGGTGGAAGCCCATTTTCGTCGGCGCCCTTTCGCATCGGGACCCGCCCCCCCGTTTGGCGGCCCCCCTGCCGTCAGGGATGCACCTCGGCAAAACGTTTGCGACTTCCGGCCCCGGGAAGTCGCGCCAGGGCTAGCCCTGGGCATTGCGCGCCAACGCCGAGCAGGACGCGGCCGACAATGAGCCCATCGGAAGGGGAAACCACGCTCTCCGCGCTGGGTCTTGCGTTCTGATGCCCAATACCTCCGACGACCGTGTCCTTGAACTTCCGTGCGTTGAAATCAAGGACGTTGGGCTCCGCGCCCAGTTTCCAAGGCGCCCGCGTAGATCCCCGTAGATCCCCGTAGGCGCGCCATTGAATTTCCCAGCGGGAACTTCAGCCCCCCCCCCCCCGCCCCCATGCCGCTGCAACCGATGCGGCTGCACCTGCAGAACAGTCATCGCCAGCACCTGGCGAGGGAGAAGACTGGGCAGAGCATGCGCCAACGCTTGGAATGCGCGCACCTCGGCTGCCGACATCTTCCCGCATGGAATACTCCTTGCGCTCGGTGGCCTGATGCCATTCGCCCAGCGTTCCCATCGTAGCCCGCAACTGACCTGGACTATGTCGCGGCACTGCGAAGCCAACGCCGGAACTGAATCTCGAACTCGGCCTTGAAGCTCTCGAGCTCCTCTCTGTCGGCCCCCTCCAGCTGGGCGTCCGCAAACGGGCCGCCGAATGACAGGCGGAGCTTCGCTTTCTCGACCAGGAACGCGCGGGCGCCCATATTGCCGCCGCGCCCCCGCCCAAGTTTCCAATCGCTGTTCTTCGTGGCCACGTAGCCATCGGGAATCATGCAAGGATGTGGTCGCCCCCATCCGCGGCCCCATGCCCTGGATAATAAATGCCCCCCCCCCCCCCCCTTCGCCACTGAGTGTTGATTCCTGGCAAATGCATGTTTGGTCAAGGAAGAGAGGCGGCAAGGCAAAGTGTAGAATCGCGGGGGAAAGTTCTGAATCGAAGTTGCTCTCTTCTTATGTGGAGTAGCAAAGATTCAGAAGGCTTCCAAACTTTCCAATCCCCGCTTTTCTATCCCGCCAATGAGCCGAAATGCCCCCCCCCCATACTCATGCGCCTACGACAATGAATATAACGAATTGAATTGTACACAAAAGAAATCATAGGTCCCGAAGCGAAGCTGGTTTGGAGAACCGGCCCCGGGGCCCCCCCTCATCCCCCTCCACCTCCTCCTCCTAAGGATTTCCGACGGATTCCTGAACATGTCCCACGGCAAGTTCTTGATTTCTTAGAAGATCCCATGGATGTCCGTGGGAAACCTATGGATTTCTGAAGGCATCCCATGGCTGTCCCATGGGGCCCTACGGCTTTCCATCGGATTTCGATGGTTTTTCCGAAGGAACCTATGGATTTGTTTAGTATTCTCACGGACGTTTAGGAACATCTTGATCATCGCCATCATCCTCATCCCCATCGCTATGCTGGGACTTCCGGGGAAACATTCATTATCCCGCCTGGGCCCCGAGATTGATTATCCCCAGGGGGCGAGCAGGGTGGGTCCTTCTCATCCGTGGAATTGTTCCGCTCGCTTGGGACATTGGCCCCGGTTCACGAGGTGCCTCGGCTTCATCAGGGAGCTCCTACTCATCGAATTGTCCCCGTTCGTCCTCGACGCCCGTCGCCCGCGTCCAAGGGGCCCGAGTAATTCAGCGGAGGGTGCCCCTCGATGGCGGGCCAGCTTGCTCACGCCCCCCCGCTGGGGCACTTTCGGCCGCGGGTCAGCAGGGCCGCCGGCAATCTCGGCCCTCTGTCTAAACCTCTTCCTCCTTGGGTATGCCTGCTTCCCGGGTTGGTTGGGTAGTCCGACATCGCCGGGCCATCCCAGCGCCTTCCCGCGCGCCTCGCCGACTTCATCTCCATCGGCGTGAGCCGGAGTCAATCCCCGAAAACGACTCCCGCAGCTCCTCTTCAGTGCCTCCAGCACGCCCCATTGGGACATGGCGGTGCGCCCCCTGGACCAGCTGCCAGTCGCGCCCCGCCCGCGCGCGCCAGATCCCGCGATCTCCCTCATGGGATCGCCTGGGCGCCTGCAGAGCAGCTCCCTCCTCGCCCCCGCGCTGGCGCCCAAACTCACGGAGACCGCGCGATGGCGCGCGCGCTGGTCCACTCAGCGCTCCTGGAAGTTGGATGCGTCGCCGCGATGGGCGCGCCGCCCGAGAGCAAGAAGGCGAAGGATCCTCGATGACCAACCGTTCCGAGAAGGCTCCGAAGCAACCGCGCTTGCCTGCTGATGCCCGCGCACGACGCAACATCGCTGCCACGGGGGCTGCAGGCTCGGATTGTCCCGGTGCCTCCAGTGCCCCATCCGGTGTGGCCAGCGTGGCCAAATGCTTGGATTGTGGCGATGCCCCGTCGCCTGCGTCGAAGTTTCCAGCTGGGGTGGCCGATGCTTGCGCGCAGGGCGCCGTCATCCAGGAGGCGCGGGCCAGCGCTGAGGAGGCGAAGAGGAGCGGCGAGAAGCAGCGGATGCCCACGGAGGCCGTGCAGAGCAGGGTGACGAAGAACATGGCAGGCCCGAATCGGGGCCAGCGAATGGATTTGTTGTCCATCTCTCCAGAGCGCATGGGCGTCAGATGCAAGGTCTCGTGGACGTCAGCAACACGCAGTGCAAGGGGCTGCTGCCCTGCGAGGCCGTTCATGGATTTCAACTTCGCCGAGAGGACAGGCGTCGACAAGCGTGCCACAACTATGGCGGGCGGTGACCAGATGCACGAGCAGCATGGCGAAGTCGCGTCTGACTACGCCAGGGCCGACATGCTGAAAGGGAAGGAGGTCAAGGACGCAGCGGTCAAGATGAGGGCGAGGCCGTGGGACCTCGCCAGCTTAGTCAAGAAGTCCTGCGAGATGCGTGGGGTCCTTGTCAAGCCAATGAACTGCCGGCCAGTGGCTGCTGTGCTGATGGGCGAGTTTGGCACCCTCGGCGCTGGCGGATCTCCGAGGGCCCAAGCCTTGGGCGGTCGCAGGGCAGGCGCTCAGGCCGTGGCCAAGTTGCTGGATGCCGAAGCCGGCGATGACGACGATTAAAAAGTCGCGTCGAAGGCGGCGGCATAGGCGGAGAGGGCAAGCCAGACAGCCACGGCGCCAAAACTCAATCGCCGCGCTTTTGGATAGCACGACGGCGGTTATGACCCCTGCTGCGAAGAGGCCCTTCACGGCTAGGCCAGGCGGGGGCGGCGACGACGCGGGGACAACGTGCCTCCGAGCGCGGCAGGTGGTGAGGGTAGTGCAAGCGAGCGGGCGGCCATGGAATATGGCTTGCCCGTTGCCGACGTAGAGAGAGACGAGCTTGCGCAGCGGGGGATCGCCGCCTATAGCATCGAGAAGATCACGAAAAATGAAAACACGTGTCGCGAGAGGCGCGTTGGCGCAGCGACTCCCGCGAACTCTTCCCGCGCAAGAAGGGCCCCAGGGCCGAGCCGTTGACGAGGCACCTGGACCCGGCGAAACACGCTGGGGACTTGGTTGGCAACGCCATTTCAGAGATGGACATGGGCATGTTGGAGACCACTGTGGAGGAGCTCCAAGACGGTTGTGCGTTTATCCCTAACTGCTTGACGTTCCAACTGCGGCGCAGATATTCCGACATTCGCTTGGCCGACGCCCTGAAGTCTCACGGCGCATCCCAGCTCTTAGCTGCCATCGCGCGCTGGAGCGGGCCTGCTGACCAGATTTTAACTGGGGGCAAGCCTCAGCTTTGCCTCCTGGGCTGCTCGGACGATGAGAAGATCGGACATTCCGAGGCGATGTCGGACAGGCTCTTGTCTGGCGTCGTGAAGTTGGGCGAGTCTGGCGAGACAGGCGCGGCTGCCATCGCGGACGCGCGCCTCTCATATTGCGCCCTCGTCGTGGATCGGGGGCGACTGCGATGTCTCCGAGAAGTCGGTGACGGACGCGGAGTTGCCCTCGACGGCCCTGAAGGCGTTGGTGCTCGCCGCGTTCGCGGGCGGGCACGCGGGCCTGGCCCGCGCGATTGCCCTCGGCGCCAACAAGGGCAAGGCAGACGAGAAGCGAGCGCCTTACAAACTTCACCTGTCTCTGAAGTTCATGCCGCGCTACGATGGGATGTTCAAGGAGTTTCGTGCGAAACAACAGTTCACCGAGGAGTTCCCGTCGAATCTTCCCGCGACAGAGGTGGAACCCTGCAAGGGCGCAACTGCCGCAGGGAAGAGCGGACTGCTCGGAAACCTGCTGACCCAGATGGGCCAGGTGGCCACTAAGTGCAGGACGGGCGCGTTCGAGCACCTTGCCGAGCTGCCGACGTCGTCGTTCGAGACGATCATTCGGCCCCTGAACGTCGCGAGCCCGACCGCCGTCGACGGCGACGCCTACATGAAGCTCGCGCCGGCAGGCCAGCGCCCGAAGCAGGGGCAAGCCGTCCCACCAGACAACGTCGAGGCTCGGATTGCGCACAACAAGGCTGCGGAGATAGCCATGGCCACGACCGGGAAGGCCGACTACGCGAACAACGTGGTCAAGGTCCTCGAGAAGTGCGCCCAGCTGGAGTCGGGGGGCGCGCTGATGGACGCCGTGCGAAAGGTCGAGCGCGCGCTCAAGGGCGCCGTCGAGGCAGGCTCGGGCATCGAGGCGCCCGTCATGGACAGGCTCGAGAAGCCCATGCAGGCTGGCAGTCGCGAGGGTCCAGATGCCGTGGGTGAGGGGGGGGGGGGGGGGGCTGTGTCGGGCGGGGTGGGGCCCAGGGTCAAGCGGGGAATGGGGGCCCCCAGGGCCGCGGGTGAGAGCAGCATTAGGTATCTCGAGGCTGTCTTCGGCTACGCAAATGAGAACGTCAATGCAATACCAGAGAGCCTCGAGTCGGTCCTGCAACTTGTCATGGTGGTCAGAGACATGCACCTGCAAGAGGCTCGCCAGACCTTCTCGGGATCCCTCGACGCGATCATCACGACCGTGACTGCATGGAGTGCCACTCTTTCCATTTCAAGCAAGTTCGAGACGGGCTGGCCCGACCTTGCTTCGAAGGTTTCGGCGGTGGGCGCGCACGTCGATGCCAAAGCGCTGCTGACTGACCGAGCTCTTCTACTTGCGCGGGTCGGCGTGGGCCCCGCGCCGTGTGCAAGGCAATGGGCGCGTTCGTCGAGATGCTGGAGACGAAGGTGGGTGATCTCAAAGTGGAGTACCTGAGGGGCGCAACGAGGGCCCAATGACAGTGCAGCTGGTGGGCCTAGAGATGGTACTTCCTGGACGGACGACATCCCAGAGGGCAAGGCCGACGACTTCGACGTGGTGCGGCCGATCTTCACGAAGGCAGTGGCCGACCTCGACGGTAACCTGTTCCCTCTGAAGCTGAATGTCCTCCAGACGTCCCAGACTGACGTGGCCAAGGCCTACGAGCTCTTCTCAGAGCCAGTGCTACCATAGCTCTTCAGGGATTCCAGCAAGACGGTGAAGAAAGCGAGTCTCACGAAGGCGGCGGCTAGGGCACTGCACGCTTGGGAGACTCACAAGAAGGACCAAAACGACGTCAAGTTCAGGAGGGAGCCCCGCAAAATCTTGAACACATTGACAGACCACTTGCTCGGCAACATCGTCGACGGTATGCAGCCTGCTTTGAGGAAGTAGGCTTGCGACGCAGCCCAGATGACAATGTAAGTAAATGAGCTTTACGGACAGCGCCCAGCGGCCGTCAGCAGGCGAAGCCATCGCCCAGACAGGGAAAACATTGGAGGGATGGGACGGGAAAGGGCGAAAGGGGAGGGGAGGGAAAGGAAATGGAGCTGTGTTGGAGTCATCTTGGGCCATATTGGAGGCCTCATGGGGGCACCCTGGGCCATAGGCCCGCCTTGAGATCATCTCGGGCCGTCTTGGATACACATTGGGCAGTCTTGGAGGCATCAAGTTGCCATCCTGGGCCCTCTTGGGCCTGTCCGGCGTCTTGGAGGCTATCTTGGGCGTCTGGAAGGCCCCCCTGGGTCGTCTTAGGCCCCGCTGGGGGCAATCTTGTGGGCCCCTTGGGCCGTCATGGGGCCATCTTGGAGGCCACTTGTGCAATCTTCGGGGCCAGTATCTCCGCGCCCGCGTCCCAGTAGTTTGTGTAGCATTGTATGTTATGTTGCAGTGCGTGGCACCTTGCGTGTGACATCGTACTGCTGGCCAATATTCGACCGACTATTTGTGCGCTAGCGCCGTTCCTATGCCATTATGTCCGAAAGATCTGCGACCACTTCTTCTGTACCCATTGCTCCTGACCCTTGCGGCGCCGATACCGAACAGCTACTTTGAAAGTACCTGCTGTCTTATCTCCGTTCCGATTTAGCAGGTATCTCTCGGGCTTTCGCATCCAATGAGTCCTCCAGAGACATGCGTATCATAAATGAGTGCGTGTGTATGAGTGTGTGTCTGTTACTCCGCCTCGTAACTGCGCGCGAGGCCTCTACCCCCGATGCGTGCGTGCGTGTGTGAGTGTGTATGTGTGTGTGTCGTGTGCGTGTCGTGTGTGTGTGACGTGTGTGTGACGTGTGTGTGCGTGTGTGCGTGTGTATGTGTGTCATGTGTGTGCGTGCGTGCGTGTGTGTGTGTGTGTGTGTGTGTGTGTGTGTTCGCGTGTGCGTGTGTGTGCGTGTGTGCGTGTGTGCGTGTGTCTTTTACTCCGCCTCGTCGCTGCGCGCGAGGCCTCTACCGTCCAAACGTGCGCGCGTGTGTGAGTGTGTGTCGTGTGTGTGTGAGTGTGTGTGCGTGTGCGGTTGTGCGTGTGTGTGTGTGTGTGTCGTGTGTGTGTGTGTGTGTTCGCGTGTGAGCGTGAGTGCGTGTGTGTGTGTGTGTGAGCGTGTCTGTCACTCCGCCTCGTCGCTGCGCGCGAGGCCTCTACCTCCCAAACGTGCGTGCGTGTGTGTGTGTGGCGTGTGTGTGTGTGCGTCGTGTGTGTGTGTTTGTGTGTGCGTGTGTGTGTGTGTGTGTGTGCTCGCGTGTGAGTGTGAGTCGTGTGTATGTATGTGTGTGTGTGTGTGTGTGTCTTTTGCTCCGCTTCGTCTCTGCGCGCGAGGCCTCTACCGCCCAAACGTGCGTGTATTTGTGTGTGTCGTGTGTGCGAGTGTGCGGTTGTGCGTGTGTGTGTGTGTGTGTGTGTGTGTGTGTGTCGTGTGCATGTGTGTGCGTTCGCGTGTGAGTGTGAGTCGTGTGTATGTGTGTGTGTGTGTCTTCTACTCCGCCTCGTTGCTGCGCGCGAGGCCTCTATCGCCCAAACGTGCGTGCTTGTGTGTCTGTGTGGGGGTGTCGTGTGTCCGTCGTGTGTGAATGTGAGTGTGTGTGTGTGTGTTCGTGTGTGTGTGTGTGTGTTCGTGTGTGTGTGTATGTTCGTGTGTGTCGTGCGCTCCCGCAGAGCTGGCCAGTGCACTCTGGACGCAGCCCGCCTCCGCCCTGGCCCGACCCGCTGACTGCACCCCCGGAGCGCGCCGCCCGCCCGCCCTCCCCCCCCGCCCCTCCCCTCCCTCCCCCCCCCCAAGGGTGCGCGTGCCGGCGCCTCTCGGCCTGGCTCGGCTCTCCCCGGTCTTCCACTACAGGTCGGCCTGCATCACAAGAATGCGCGATAATAGAGGTAAGAATCACCCCGACACGCGAAGCCGTCTAGGAAACGCACCCAGAGAAGAATTCAAACAGGGCAGGTTTGTTTATTAAACGCCCAGGGCCGCTTAGTAAACGCCAGTTGTCGGGTCCAGGTGGCTTTCCCTCCTTGAGATAAGGTAAGGATGTAAGGGCCTTGAAAGGCCACCTCGAAGCTTTTCGAGCGGGGCGCGGCCAGAGCGAACGTGGCCAAGGATGGACCTAGGAGGCAAGGATGCAAGGGTACCCTTGGGAAGGTCGCCCATCCTTGCCATGCGGGTCGACAGTAAGACGAAGCCAGGACGAGGATAACATCGGGTGAAGATAAATCGAGAATCTCTGAGATCCTGCGGCTCTGGAGGATGTCTCGGGCGCCGCGGCCTTCTCAGAGCGTTCCAGAACGCTCTGGGAGCGCTCTGAAGCGCAGTTGAACAGATTATCCTCGTCCTAGCCCCGCCCGGCTTCCATCTCTAACGGGGGATATGGCGACCCCAATCCCCGACTCTGGGAGGCTACCAGAAATTTGTGGCCAAACCCTGGGACGCATACTATGGGGGGGGCGTCCATCCTCGGTAAGGGGTGCGTCCGAATTGCTCCTTGGGGTCTATCCCAGAGCTTCCCCCCTTGTCCTGAGCGGCCAAACTTTCCTGGCGGAACTCGGGGATTGGGGGAGAAACATCGCCTGCGGATCCTGCAGGAGGGACGGAGGAGGGCAGGGAGTCAGGGAACCGGGGACACAAACAAGGACATGAGCATAAATTGCCGGAGGTCCGCGCGGATTTCTCGGATCGGCGCTGGACCCTCCTGGCGGCGCCGCCAGCGTCGCCCCGAGCGCGCTCCGCGCGCCAGGGAGGGGGGGGAGCGCCGATCCAAGAAATTCGCGCAGACCTGGCCCGTCCCTCGAGGGAAGGAGGGAGCGGGAGCCGTGAGCCCCTGTGGCAGCGAGGCCCCGCGGGCGCTTTCTCCAGCACGGCGCAGGCCGGGGACGGGGTCACCCCTTCGGCTGCACGCAAGAGAGACCCTCGGCAAGGGCGACGACCTTTGGTGCGCGGCCTGCCGGCTGTTGCGCGCGGTGCGACAGCAGCGGCCTGCGTGCTTGGGCTTGGCCCCGAAGCGCCCCCCAAACGCCGCGCGCCTGAGGTCCCTCCGGCGAAGGGTCACTCTCGCGTGCAGCCGATCCCTCCGCGGCGCAGCGCCCGGGCTGCAAACGGCGGAGGCTGCCGCGGGTCGCAACTTTGGCGCACGGTGGCAGCTCGGCTGCCTCTCTTGCCAGGGGGGGGGGGGGGGGCGGCCAGGTGCTGGACTTAGGTCGGGCATGGTTTTCCTACAAGGGGATTTTGGACGACAATTTAAAAATACTCAAAACATACCCCCGAATAGTCAAAAATAGTCACAATATCGTCCCCAGACTATGTGTTGACTATTTTTGAACTTTCCTCCTGTAGAGGGACGTGCCCGACGTACTACTGGTCGGGAGCTTTTGCTTGGCGTCTCTGTGTCCTGCAAGCGGACAGCATGTCGCTCTGCTCCTCGGGGCGGGAGGCTCGGAGAGGCTCGGCACGTGGACGCCTCGGGACCGCGGCGCGGCCAGCGTGCCGCACAGAAGCGCGGCGGGCCAGAACCAGCAGTGCGGCACGATGTTCCAAAGTACCCGACCGTAGCACCAGAGGCGCAGAAGCGAATCCATGTTCTCTCAGTCGTCCTTCTCGCCCTCGCCATCCAGTCTGTCCTCCTCCTCCTCGTTCTCACCCTCCTCCGCATCTTCATCGTCTCTCCCCTTCAGCTTCTTCTCCCACCATTCCTCTTATTTCATTCGTCGTCGTCATCGTCACCATCATTGACCATCCTCTTCATCATTAGGATCAACTTCGTCGTCGTCATCACCACCACCACCACCCGCATCATCATCACCAGCATCATCAGCATCGGCAGCTTCATCAGCAGAAGCATCAGCATCAGCATCATAATCAGCATCAGCCTCAGCCTCAGCATCATCATCACCACCATCATCATCCTAAGCCTTACCCCCGTCATCACCGTTATCAGCATCGCCATCATCATCACCATCACCATCACCATCAGCATCATCATCATCATCGTCACCATCGTCATTAGCATCACCATCATCATGATCATCATCATCATCATCATCATCATCATCATCATTCGTATCAGCGTCATCGCCACCATCGTCGACATCATCATCAACATCGTCATCCTCATCATTACCATCATCACCATTACCATCATCATCATCACCACCATCATCATCATCATCATCATCATCATCATCATCATCATAACCATCATCTTCATCATTAACAACATCACTACATATCAACATCACCATCATCACCATCGTCATCGCCATCGTCATCACCAGCACCATTGTATTTTGTCATTATCATCGTTGTCCCCCTGCTTCTCTTCATCTACATCCTCTTCTCGGGACGACGAGCGCTTCCGAGAAGTCTTGAGGAATGCACCCTGGGCGGTCATGTCAAAATCGTGCGTTCGCAGTACGTCGCGTGGCAGTCGTGCTCACCACGCTTCCTCACCGACTTTCGTTGACGCCTCAAGGCGCCCATCATATCACACCACGCCACGGACGCCGACAATCTGCGCTTCCGTAATTACCTCATCGTCATCGCCGTGTTAATTTTATGTCGGGCGCGTCCCCCTACAGGCGGATGTTGGACGACAGCTTAAAACAAACGGAAACATTAATAACAAAACAAACAATAAAAACATAAAACATTAGGAACAACGTTCCCATACGATTTGTTTGGCTGGTTCTGAATTTTCCTCCTGTAGAGGGACAC